ACGTATTCTCCCGCTCTGTCAAATCCTGGGCCAGATGAAATACTGTTGAGTAGTTTTAGTACCTAGTTTTTTTAATAACCCTAATTTTTTTATTGTGATAAATGTTATATTGTATGATGGGGTTGTCTGATATTATATTGTTATTTTTATAATAGTTGTAGAAAAATGTATATGGTACAGATTGTCATAAAGAATTTCAAGTCCGAAATCATGGAATCTATTATAATGCCAATTTTGATTAGAAACTTGGTGTTCATCAGGCATTAAAAGTTGATAACGCAACTTTTTAAAAGACACTTTATATGAAAAGACTTAAAACGTTGGTTTATTTGGATACATAGAATAGTTTTTAAATGCCTTTTCTCTCTTTCTAAACGTTCTAGAAAATACTGACAAATATATATTTTATTGTGTCATTATGTCGTACTAACAGGCAACTAAAGAAGCTTAGACTATTAAAAATAAATTACTTATAATCCTAGCCTCTTGACCCTGCTTGGGGATTACTGTTATAAATGTGTTTGAAAAATCTTTTAAAATTTATCACGTCTGTGGCTCCACTTGAAGAGGGTTCCCTTCAAACATTTAACAGTACTTAGCGGTTTAGAGGAACATAGGGTTACCACAGCCGGGGTTTTTGAGTTGTTTAGAAACATTTTGGAGCACAAAATTAAAGTATTTATCGATCCTTGAAATCTTTTGGAGTAACATCAATTTGTTACTCATATTGCAAATACAAAAGAATTATTTAAATTTAATACAATACGTAGGAACTAGGAATTATGCCCAGTTTATTATAGAGTACTTATAGTTCTTTTTAGGTATTAAATTCCTTAACTGAGTACTCAGCCTAGCCAAGTAAAGAAAGGTCATGAAATAGAGATCCAATACCTTTCGATTTACAAAAGAATACATGCTAATTACAGGTTTCTGTATTTACAAGCTCTTACTTCGTTTCATTACATATTTACTCATTTATCCACAACTTACCAACCCTAGCATTCAGGAGTAATTAAATAAACAAATGTTTTAGCATGTTTGCTGTTTGCTTCTAGCAATAATTATTGCTGTGAACGCCCTACGAGATCATTGGATGGTGATTACTCATTTTAGAGAGATGTTTATCCCATAGAACAGATAAAAGAGTCCTTTCTTTATTTCTTCATCTACCAAAAACGTTACCCCACACAGAATTTTCTCCTGTGTCGTGGGTGCGTCCAAATATATGTACAAATTCACATACTATAGGTATATAACATCATATCCAGACACGGAACAACAATCTATGGATCACACGAAAGACCCACGACACGTTGCGCGGCAGCCAGTTGCCCAGTCACCGTGTGCAGTCAAAGACAGTAGTCACCCAGTCTTTATATGCTCAGTAGACAATTCTACAAAAGGCATTTATGAAAGACATTACAAGGGATTCCGGTGTCCTACTGAGAGGACCCGGTGCTCCTTATTGGTGATGATGGCGCTTTTATTGGACCAAGGAGGTTTTATTGTGATAAGAATCCGACACACCCGAGACTTTTCCCTGACAGCTTCAAAGGTATGCCTCGTAAACAAAAAAAGGTTTAAATCCTTTGTCAAAGTCATGGTGGCTCAGACTGCAAGGGGTGCCATTAATCTCCGAGCTACTGAAACAAGGAATACCAGGCAAATACCAATGGGAATCTTTCCGAGTTGATTAACTTTCTTAGATTATTGAGACACGATCAAAAATATCAGGGACTTGAACGGATTGGAGATTTGGGGATTGGGGATGAGGAAGGATGGTTGAATATCTAGTAAGACACTAACACAGAGAACTAAAACGCAAGTGTAGTTCCACATCAGCTTATTGCGACGCCTTGTTATCACTCCGGTTGAGTTAGTCCATTTGAGCCAAAGCATGGCTCTATCACACTTACATAAAACCGTCCAAGAAGGTGGTTTTACTGTTATTGTATGACCTTGTGGTGGAAAATTATAATTGTTTTTTGTGACATGTCAATATGTATTATCGAGATTGGCGAATTATTAAGTGGATTATTTGATTAAAAATATTATGTAGACAAAAGATTGCACCAAATCAAATCGTATTTTATCTTTTACACGAGATTACGTGACAACAGAGTTGACAATTATATTTATTTTCTGTTCTGTTCAGTCTTTTGGGGTTTATTTGTAAGAAGATGATATCATTTAGTGGCTTCTTTCACCCTAGGAAGGGCAGGCAAATATTAGACTCTTAATGTTAATATGCTTGACGGTATGGCGTATACGTTACTACTATAGCTCCGAGCTGGACGTAGGCTGGCGCTGCCGGGCATCGCTGGCCTGCTATGGCAGCCTAAGCCCCATCCAAGGTGGTTGGCTCTTTGAGGCGCGTGCGGAATGCGACGCGCTATACCTTTTTGCCAGGCAGCGAGCTATCCTGAATTAAGACCATACAATTATACTTTGCTTTTCAGAGAATTAATTATATAACGTAATAATAGAAATATAATTACCAAAATCAAAATCTATTTCCAATGCTGTTTTGATTTAATTTCAAATAACTATAATAATCAAAATATTTAGTTGGATAACAATTAGTTTCGTTTCTAGCTGCATACCTTTCATAATTATTACTCGAAACAATGGTTTTTGTATAATTGACGGGGTTGTATCTACTAGAAATAATTATGTTAGCAATAAGTGTATAACATACTACTCTCGCGCAGTTTCACTCGCTGATCGGCTACTATAGATCGTATAACGTTGAAAGAAAGAAAAGAAAGAATTTTGGAAATTCGACCAGCAATTTCAAAGATTACATCTTACATACAAACTTACAGATTACAAATTTTACCGCTTTGTAATATTAGTATAGAAGTATGTATAGATATATTACCTGTAATGTCTCGATTTTGCCTGCGTCTTGCGCCTGCAGTTAACTCCTTTCTACATCATCCGAAGGTTCGACTGGCAGAGAATGCCTTTATCATTAAGTCCACCTCGTACCTTCACAAATTTTTGTGCAAAAGTTTAAATAAATAAACAAGAACAAGTGCTGCGGATGTCTATGGGCGGCGCTGATTGCTTACCATCGGGTGATTCGCCAGGGTGTTTAAATAAATTTTAGTTTTTCATCCTAACTTAATATTATAAACGTGAAAGTAACTCTGTCTGTCTGTCTGTCTTTTCTTCACGCCTGAACATATTTGTGTAAAATTTGGTACACACATAGTTTGGAACTCGAGAAAGGACATTTCAGAATAGTTTTAACAAAAACCAAAAATTTGTAGGATGTCACTATACCTCACGAACAGAGTAGCGGGCTAAAGCTAGTTTTCATTCATATAAAAGTATATAATTTCGTATTAATATAACGGTGTCCTCTTCAGTGAGCTTCTTATCTCTTTCTTGCTTCATCATAAGGTACAACAACAAGGAAGTCCCTATTTATAACATATTTCTTGTAATTTTCCAAAGAGGTACAAATAGCAATTAATAGTAGCGTTTTCTAGAAAACGTACAGAGAGCGAGATTTCCGCTTGGTGATTAAAAATATTATCAGAATTATGGCAAGAAATGTTTTATGGAGTTAGGTTTTAAAGCATCAAATAGAATATAATAAATGTAGAGTGCATCAGTCAGTTAAGGCGTGAAGGCAATGCAATGAATCTACTTTTAGCATTCCTGATTATCTCACTGTAGACGTATGTATTTGACTGCTCAGATTCTGTGATCCACAAGTTGTAGTTCCGAGTTTGGTGTGCTTTGTATGTGAAATCGTGTGTTTGTAAACACACCTACAATACAGAAAAATAAACAAAAAAAACATCGACCAAAGAAAATCGTGTTGTGGAGCAACGTCTTAAGAATAAACAAGTCGGAAGATTCGTAAAGGAGTGTCAAAAATATGAAAAATAATGTTCTTTAAAAAATATTCACAGAATATTGGTGAACATCTGTAGGTAAACGTAGCGTAAGGTGCCCTGCAGCCAAATGGACTGACGATATCCGCAAGTTGGCTGACAGTGGTTGGATGAGAAGAGCTGAACTTTGAGCTTAGTGACATGAAATTGGAGAAGCCTTCGTCCAGCAGTGTCCGGAGACTGTGAAGAGAAAGTAAAGATGAGATTTGTAGACACTTAAAAATCTATTCACCATTATTCTTTCATTTAAAACTAATGCCAGTGATTCGTTTGCCAATGTTTACTTTAAACGCATTGTCAAGTGTAACGTACTGTTAACAATAGAATATTTTACATAACATCACAACATGACCCATCTCACCCGTATTGTTGATTATGACCACGCTGACCTTCAGTATTAGCTCAATGGTAATAAAGACGTTCTTTACTATTGTTCATAAGTACTGGATGTAAAAATAGCGTAACGTCTTTTAAATGCTCAGTGCACTTTTCATATTGTTATAAGTTTATTTTTTAAATGGATTTAATGAACCCGAAATTTTTCGCTCGACAGTCTCACAGTTTACCTAGAGTTACAATCAATGGTCAATTCTTAAATGAGAGTGACCATGCATTCTCCTGAATTGGCTTAATCGACCGGAGTGATACCACGGCCTTACAGAACACAGCATTGTGTTTTACTATGTCATATTAAAGCGGACTTAATGCCATATAGCTTATATTCTCTTACAATCAAACATCAGATGAGTCTTTTTTCTCCTTTCAAATTAAAATTCATTAATTGTTCGTTACAAATAGCAAAAGATGGAAAATATAGTTATTATAGAGGCGTTGAAATACAAGTCAAAGTTTAACTACAAGATTTTGGCAATACATTGCATAGATTTGTAATGTACAGGTAATTGCATTGCACTAAAGATTTAATTTTCAAGTCACATTATTGATTTATTTTCCATTTATTTCATTAACCAAAGGCTAGTCTAGGTATATAAACATATTGGTCACAAAAGACCATAAAAAACGCTCGATGATACCCACATAAAGTTATAAAATAAACAGCTAAAACAGAAAGGACACTTTACTCATACAGACAGTACAATTAGCAATCAGTATCATATCTGCATTCCTACTCTATGACACAAACAAGCCTGTAGCGATGTAGTTGGCAACACAACAAAACGAGTACTCGCACACGGCGCGCGCGCAGCCGATCAAAGGGCGATCGCGATCGTTTCAATTTAATCCGTCGTTCGATATTTGAATTGAAGTGAATCGGTGTGATATTTTTTTTTAAATTAATTGTGATCCTTTCTTTGTTTAAAATTGGATTGGGTGTTCTTTTTTTAAATAAAGGTATGTTTTTTTGTTATTTTTATTTATTTTTTAGTTTAAATAAATTTAAATATTAACAATAAATTGTTTTTTTTATTATTAAGCATACTTTCAGGATCATAGAGCTCGTCTCTTTCTTTTTTATGTCCTTTTCTATTGAAATTCTCATCAAATTTTGTTAAGATGTTGTGATGTTGCAAATTCCTGCTTGTAAACACAATATCTGCAGTTGTGTCTGGACTCGGAAGTATGGTAATGGGCTATCGTTTCCTACTACATTAAGATGATAGCAATAAAATTGCCGTTTATATATATCGTACTTTGTACATTCATCTTTTCAATATAATAATGACATTGAATTTACTTTCATAAAGTACCATATTTTATGAATTTACTTTAAGATAGTATTAATCGTGTACATATACTCGTAAATCAATATTATAGCAATAAAGTTGTTTTTTGCTTGTGTCAACATTTTTATATTGTCATATACATAGTATATTTCAAAAATTATTAGTTTTTGACGATCTTATTGTCTATATAATGGCTCGACGGAAACAAATTGGCTTGATAAAAATGAAAAAATGTTTTGTTTTTTTATTATAATTTAGAACGACTTTTACACATCGAAGGTAGGAAACGAATTCCACATTTGAAATTTTTTATTAGATGCACTAAACTGCTTTAATCTGGAGGTTTGTTTGGCGTATATCAGCAAACGTTTTACGGATAATTACTTCGGACTAAGGACACCCGCAAGGACTTACAACTACGCCTTCGGTCTTTTGGTTTTTCGGTTAGGTTTTAGAAATTGACAATTGGGGATTGAAGGAGAGACAGGGGTTGTTATTATTCGCTAATTTCTGTAAGGCTGTGATATCACTTCGATAGAGCTGGCCTAATACTTACAAAGCAAAATATATAAAACAGATTTTAAAAAGGTGAAGTTTCCTTTCTTTTATTTATATCTCTGTACGCTATACGAGACAAGCTAGATATTGTAGTACAGGTAAAATTTACGTAAAATATATTACGTATATTAAAACATAATATTTTATCTTTGAAGGGAAAAGCGAAAGTACAAAGATCCGGTGCATTAGCAAAACTGTTATCAAATCAATGATGATGCAATGTGTTATCAAGTACTTATTGCATTAATCAATAACTTTGAACTAATAATAATAATAAGATTGTAGTGTTTATTTGCATTATTGAACGAAGTGCTACTAAATTTTGTGGTTCTGTAGGAATTTTAGGAGGTAAAATGATGATACTTTAAGACGTATGTATTTTGTTAATAGGATTAAATATCAAAGGAGCAGCTGGTTCATCTGACGGTAAGCAATTGGCGCCACTCTTTAACACCAGTTTAGTAAAAGTGGGAGAGCCATGCTTTGGCACGAATGGGTCAGCTCGACCGGAGTGATACCACGGCCTCACAGAAAACCGGCTTGAAACAATTACAGCGTTGTGTTTCGCAGTGTGAGTGAGGTTACCGGAGGCCCAATCCTTCCCCTCCCCCAATCCCTCCTTATTCCCAAAATCTCCAAATCCTTAATCCCTAAAGGTCAGCAACGCACTCGTTATCCTCCGTCGTTGCGAGTGTCCATGATTGCTTACCATCGGGTATTCCGTTTGCTCATTTGTCGACCTGCCACATAAAAAAGAAAACGATAGTTGCACGTTGTTTCCGGCTATTTGGGTCAGGATTGGAAGATTTGGCGATCGGATGAATGGTCTTTTTTTTTCTTTGATCGATGATAATAAATAATTTATGTTAGGTTTTTTGATCCCTTTGCCGTGTTATTAAGAATTACTTTGTTAAAAAAATACTCGTAAATACAAACTTAAATATGACATTTAAATTAATGCTAAAGAATTAGCATTAATTTAAATGTCATATTACATAGCCACAAAACTACTAATGAATGTCAAATACGCACGCGATAATAAAGGATTAAGATAGTCTTAAAATGTAATTAGGTAAATATAATTATATGTTTAGCGACTTATTCGCGTAATTGTGTGAGGAGGAACTCGACTAGTTTTGTGACGGGAAAATCATCAAATGATTTCTCTCGCCCAGGGTCGAGCTGGAGGGAGTGTCAGACTCTTACTGACTAAAACTCCTCCGTTCCTTCTCCTGTTCTAAGCCGATGCCGCAGTGCCTCATAGCGCTCACCCCGCAACCCCAGCGAATCATCAGCACAGGCCAAGACTGTGGTGGTATATTTGCACTTTGAGGAGCGCAAGGAACGCTATATGCGCTTTACGCTCGGGTTGGGTTCTTGTTGGGCAGCGAGCTACCCATACTCGCCGACCGCAGACCCGCCCTTACGGTGGCCAGAGATCATCTCTCGAACTCGACTGGTTTCAAGTGAGGCTCGGAGCTCATATTTGAGTTTGCCACTCTGTGTCTCGCCATGCGGCTCATGAATATGAGCCCCTAGCATGAAACTAGTCGAGTTGCTAGTCAAACATCAAAGAAGTCGCTAAAATAATAATGAGATATAGGGCATGAAAAGGAAGGAATAAATTGATGATTATGGCCACAAAAAATAAATTGTTCACTATGTGTAGTATCAATAAACACTATTTTTAATATTTTTGAATTTTATACCTATTGGCTCAAACCTCGACCTCGAGCATGAAGGGGCAATGTAACTGACAACAAAAAAAAAAAGAAATTGGCAGAAAGAAGAGAAGAAAAAAATATTCGTGAAATTGAGGTCAAAGAACTCTAAATTAGTGCAAATATCCTTAACTTATCAAAAGATTAATAATAATTACATATTGTATTGATAAAACGCTCAATAACGTGCTAATTAGTTTATTTATCATACTGATTAGAAATGTCTTTGATTACGTATAATTGTATTGCTGGACATATGGTGGCAAACGTGACTTAATTAATTAAGGTATACAATTCCAAAATAAACTTTAATATTTGTACTTAGAATTCTAAATTCCTTAAATAGTCACATTACTACATACGTAGACAGTATAAAAAACGTGGCATCCTTTGTCCCTATAACATTTTATATGCTTAAATCTTTGAAACTGCGCAACGGATTTTGATGTAGTTTTTTAATGGATAGAGTGACTGAAGAGGAAGGTTTATATGTAGAAATATTGGAGAAAATTTATTTCAGCATTCCTATCGTGGGAAGATCGCTGGTGTGGATCGCTTGTGTTGCCATAAATTAACTATAAAAAATATATGTTATATATACCTACATACCTACCTATCAGTATTCAGAAAATCTTGTTTCATAATTTTCAGCTTCGTTTTTTGTCGTAGTTGGGTTTTAGAACTGAAAATGACATACACAAATTCAAAAGAATGCTTACAGATTTTAGGTTAAAAAAAAGCGTACTATTCCATTGGTGAATTCTTAACAGAGGGAATAACCAAATAGTAATTATTAGAAATTCCTTTACATAAGGTGTCCGATTTGTTTATGATATACTACTTGACAGTATTTAATGATATTAATTATTTATTTTTTGTAACAATTTATAAAATAGTAATAGTGTATTCCTTATTAATAAAATAAAATTTGTATGCCTATAAGGTTAAACATAGCGATCCTAACATTGTAATAACATCTTCCCTTCATAGATAATATAATTTGAATTTGAATTTAGTTTTTATACTTTTTATTATTAAGTAGGAACTAACATCTGATAAGCACAAGAAAATGGTATGATCAAGAAAAACAAATGTTTTGTTTATTTATATTAGATAATAATATAACGAGAACTGTACAAGTGACAGACGCAGACACTCTCCCAACCAGAAATAATGACAATATTTACGTACAACATTTCCCTTCAATTTTTCCTGCAGATAAAATAATCAATTCAAAATAAGGATGATTATTCAATAAAAATAATTATTCATTTCCGAATTATTTTTGTAAGTAACATTACTCTTGTTTTCAGACTGATTTTAATATTCGTTTAATTCATCAAACTCAAACGAACGCCGGCGTTCTTCGATTATGTCTCGAATGACTACTATTGAAAGGTCAATATTAGTATTTTATAGGAACGAAAAACTATAATAATTGACGTCACGTGAATGTCTTTCTTCCACGCGACAAACTTACTTCCTGACGATAAGAAATTTCAAACTTATAATAATGTTCCTCACGATGTTTTCCTGTGTGGTGTCTTAATAATCATAGAAAGTAGGTATATATAGGTATATGTATATACAATAACATATAACTCGAACCCAGTCACATTGGTATGTACTTGTCAGGTAAGGTAAGGTTTAACCCACTGCTTACCATCAGGTGGGATGCAGTCAAGCACTAGTTTTTTGCAAGAAAACAAAAACCCACTCTCAGGCTTCAGAAGCCTTTTTACCTTCGGACCGCCACGACATATATATTCACAGACAGACAGTCCAATAACAATTGGTTTTAATATTATTTACGATAAACAAGATATACTTTCCCTTACCGTTCTTAAGTACAACTGTCACATTGTGAAACAGCCCATAAAACAGTGTTCTTCCAACGTAAATATTGAATTATGACGTCACTCCGCTCAAATCGTGACCCATTCGACCTCGAAACACTTTCATGAAAAGCAATTATCAACCTTATTCGAATTAGTATACGGTTGTAATTAGGATTTTTAGGGTTGTTGAACACTGACGCGTAATGCCTGGGTAATCTAGGGCTTAGGACGATCGTATTAAGGCTGGTTTTAATGACAGACTTATTGAGATAAAGACGATGCCAACATTGGGTAATTTCCGTCGTTGTAATAAACGTGTTGCTGGGACGAAATTAAGGATTACTCTTAAGACCTGTTGTTAAAAAGTGACACTATGTTGACATGCATTTAAAATTCTATTGAAATGTGCACAGTACACAAATAATGATATCCCATTAAGAAAACCAATAACTTTAAATATTCCTAAGAACCAGTAATAGAAGCAAAATACAATTTTAGCAGACGATGATCCACTTAACTGTTTTATTACCTATTTATATCAAAGTGAAAGG